AAAATGCTCAGGAAAAGCAGGTGTCAACTCTATTCTCATTAATTTTAATAACAGAAATAAAGATTAATTAGATAGTAACACAAAAGAATGCATTATTACAAATTTATATTAATGATAAAAGGATATACTATGTGCATCTATGGGTTAGCCTTGTTCTAAATACTTTAATGGAGTAATCATTAGATAACTTATTTGTACTATAATATGTATACAGTGGGTAACTATTAACTATTATTCTTACTTACATGGGTATACACTAAGAAATGGAGGCAGAGAAAGATTAAATAAATTGTTCAAAGGCACATAGCTGGTGGACAGAGCTGGAGCTCAAACCCATTGTGGTACCTGCTCTTAACCACTACACTATATTGCTTTACTAAACAGCCCTGAGGGAAAGCAACAAGATCTATGAGAACATCTGACAAAGAAAACTGATCTAGATTGGAGTGAAAGTACTGCTTGAGCTGAGACTTCGTTTGAATAGCAATTAATTCTGTAAAGTAGGTGGCCATGTTGGGGAAATGGTCATTCCAGCTAGAGGAGAGCATGTACAAAATCCCTGAGGCAAGGAAAGAGCGTGCTACAGCAAGGAAACTAAAGGCCAGTATAGCTAGAATATAGAAAGCAAGGGGAAAATAGGATATGGTGTGGCCGGAGAGGCTGCTCAGACCAGGTGATATAAGACCTTTCAAGCCCTTAAGGATTTTTCTCTTCATCTTAAGAGTAATGGGAAGATGTAGGATTGGTTGTTGGAGGAGCAGGGAACAATTATCCTTTGAAAAAAAAATCACTATTATTGTAGCTTAGATAATAGATTTCAGGGGAGTCAGAGTGCAAATAGAGATGACAGTGGTGATATTTTGAAGGTGGTAAATTGATTTAGGGTAGTGACAGTGGAAATGGTGACAAATGGATGGGTTTAGACAGTATTGTTTATTTACTTATTTTCAGTTTTTGAAAGGCAGAGAGACAGACACAGAGAGATACTTTATCTGCTGCTTCATTTCCCAAATGCCCGAAAGAGTCAGGGCTTGACCGGGAGGAAGCCAAGGGCCTAGAACTCAATCCATGTCTCCCATGTGGGTGGTAGGGACCCAAGTAATTGAGCCATCATCTGCTGCATTATCAGGAAGCTGGATCAGAAGCAGAGGAGCTGAGACTGAACCAAGCACTCTGATATAAAATGTGGGCATCCCAACCAGAGTTTAACTACTGTGCCAAATGTCTGGCCCTAGATGAATACTTAATAAGTCAAATTGATAAGACTGCTAATATATTGGACACAAGGGTCAGAAGTTGTAGATTCTGAGGATGACCCATCATCCTATATCCAATCTGTCAGTAAAAGCAGCTTATTTACTTTCTCAATGTCTGTCTTCCTGGTTGAATTAAGTGAATGGTAACACATGCATTGAGATGCAGAACGTGGAAGACGACAAAGAGGTGCATCTTGGATATGCTGAGTTTGAAGGCCTTTGGGATATTCAAAGAGTGGAGACATTAAATAGTTAGCAAAATGGGCCTAGGTCTACGTGGATGGAACTGGGCTAAAGACATAAACTTGGAAGTTATCAGTGATGGTAAATGAATTAGTGTCATAGAGAAGTTTGCCTGGGGAAGAAAACTGATTTGGAAGACAAACAAATCTAGAGCCAGGATTGGAGAAAATCCAATATTTAATAAATCTGTGTACACATTCCAAAGAAACATTTCTTTAGGCTTGACCCTTGGCTAACTCTTAGAAAAACTAGGGAGTATTTCTGTATGTCTGAACTATTGGGCAACACTGCACTGGTTTGACTTCTGGGGGCATGGGCTCTGAATCATTTATGTTATATTTTCATGCGACTGACCCAAATTAAAACTCTGGATATAAGAGCTCTGGTGAGCTTCCTTGGTTAGCAATATTTCATGTGTGTGTTTGTGTGCATTTTAAAGATTTTTTTCTTTATGTGAAAGGTAGAGTTAGAGAGAGAGAGAGATCTTTCCATCCACTGGCTTGCCGCCCAAATAGCTGCAACAGCCAGGGTTGGGCCAGGCCAAAGTCAGGAGCCAGAAGCATTATTTGGGTCTCTCATGTGGGTGGCAGGGGCCCATGAATTTGGACCAACTTCCATTGGTTTCCCAGACATATTATCAGAGAGTTAGATTGTAAGTGGAGCAGCTGAAACATGAACTGTCCCACATATGAAATTCCAGTTTTGCAGGCCACAGTTAACCCTCTATGCCACAAGGCTGGTTCCCATACCTGTTTTCACAGATCATTGCTGGGGGAATTAATGCTCACACAGCTCCAGTGGGAGGGGATACCTGGAAAATTGAACCTGTTTTAACCTGGACTTTGATCCATGTGCTTTTCCCTTTGTTATTGTCTTTAAAAAAAAATTTATTTATTTGAAAGGCAAAGAAGTGAGAGAGGAAGAGGGAGAGAAATCTTCCACCTTCTGGTTCACTCTCCAAATGGCTGCAACAGCTAGGGCTGGGCCAGACTGAAACCAGGAGCCAGTAACTCCAACCTAGTCTCCCATGTCCGTGGCAGGAGCCCAAGCATTCAGGCCATCTTCTACTGCTTTCTCAGGTGCATTAGCAAGGAGCTGAATTGGAAGCTGGGCAGCCAAGACTAGAACTTGCATTCTGATTGGGATGCAGGCATAGTAGGCAGCACCTTAACCCACCATACCATGATGCTGGCCCCATTTATGCATTCATTTTGGTAAGCCATAGCACAGCTGTAAGTCCTATAAGTTCTTCTACCAAGTCAATAAGCTTCAGGCTTGTCCTGGGGACCTCTGGTCCTGCCTGTAACAGAGAAACAGTAGTCCCAAGGGTAGGTGCAAAACTAAGTGTGGTAATCACAAGGCCCAAGGAAGGAAGTGATTCCAGAAGGGTGAGTGGCCAAGGGTGTTAAATCCTCTGGGAAGACAAATAAGTTCTTAGTCTTTTTTGTGTTACTACAATGAAATAAATGATGCAGGCTAATTTTATAAAGAAAAAAGATTTATAACCTCACAGTTTTGGAGGCTAAAAGTCCAAATAGCACAGCTCAGGCTCTGTCAAAGGCCCATGGCAGATGACAGAGCAAATGCAGGAGGAAAGAAGGATCACATCTCCAAACAGAAGTCAGATGGATTCAGGGATCAGACTCAGGCTTTATAACAACTTGCTCTCACGAGAACTCACTCCAGGTTTCTCCTGTATTCTGCTCTGAGGGCAGTGCCCGCTATGACAAAGTGGCCTTTCATTAGGCCCTGCCTCATTAATGCCTGAGTATCTCCCAATATCTGCTACCCTAGGACCAAGGCTCCGACACAGGGAACTTTGGGGATGACATGCTTGGACTGCATGTCCAAACTGTAACAGTTTGGGAAACAAATATGCCCACTCGATCTAAAAATGTGGAAGTAACCGATGACTTAACAAAACTTGTTTTGGGAGCCTGATGACAGTGGAAGCCAGGCCAGAGTAGATTGAGGAATGAGTGGGATGGACAGACATAAACATAAAGACCTTTAGAGAAAAAGAGACTTGAAAAAGAGATTCATACTAATTTTACCTTTATCTATAGGAACAAAATACATCAAAACAACTTATATAATAACCCAATAGGCAAACCTTTGAGTTTTAGCTCCTATTAAAAACTTTTACAATGGCATACTCTTTGAATCAGCAATTCTATTTTTAGGGCTACTCAGAAGAAATAACTATAGACATATAAAGAATGACTCACTACAATGTTTATTACAGTATTGTTTATAATAACAAAAAATTGGAAGGGTTGGCATTGCGGTGCAGTTTATGACGCCAGCATTCCCTATCATAGGACTATTTTTAGTCCTGGCTGTTCCAATCCAGCTCCCTGTTAATGTGCCTGGGATGGCAGGAGAAGATGGCCCAATACTTGGCCCCTGTCATCCCCATGGGAGACCTGGATGGAATTCCTGGCTCTGGCTTCAACTTAGCCTGGCTGTTGTGGCCATTTGGGTAATGAACCAGTGGATGAAAGATGTCTATGTCTCTTCCTCTTCTTTATCACTCTGCCTTTTTTTAAAACATGAATATTTTAAAACCTTTTTTAAAAAAAGATTTTATCTGAGAGGTGAAGTTACAGATAGTGAGAGGGAGAGACAGAGGGAAAGGTCTTCCATCCACTGGTTCACTCCCCAACTGCCACATCTGAAGCCAGGAGCCAGCTTTTTCCTGGTCTCCCATGCAGATGCAGGGACCCAAGTGCTTGGGTAATCTTCTACTGTTTTCTCAGGCCACAGCATAGAGCTGGATCGGAAGAGGAGCAGCCAGGACTAGAACCCGGTGCCCATATGGGAATGCCAACACAGCAGGGGGTGGATTAACCTACTCTGCCTTTTAAATAAATGAATCTTTAAAATAAAAAAAAAGGAAAACCTTATTGTCTAACAACAGGCAGCTATTACATTACATAACAAAGTCTATTGTCTAAATTGAAATGTATCTTGCTGCAAGACTAATATGTGTGAAAGCACTTTATAAATGGTAAACTACCACTTCAATGTTCAAGTGTTGTGTTTATTACTAGAATTACTATGCATACCTGAAAGGTCTTTCAAACACAGAAAAGTCAATAGATTGTAATTAGACTCAGAATTCTATATCCTGCTTTTGTCATTACTAGTGGTTGCCAATCTTGTTCAGACCACAAAGTACTTGGAAGCCAAAGTGAAATGAAACGCTAAATGAATTTTAAAGATAAAAATGTTACCTTTATATTTCCTGGCCTCACTTATTGGTGAAGGCAAGTGTGGTGCACTTACAGAAATGTTCCCAATCCGGGAACAGCATCCCTCTGCTGCCCCTTATGCACTCTTCCCCTCCTGCTGACTAGAGTTGCTCTGTCCAGGAGGTGCAGATGTCTCTGCAAATCTTCATGCTACCCTTGGGCTACTGCCTCTTGGGCTGCTACCTCTTGTGCCCAACTGATGGACATAGTGTGTTTTCACCATCACTCACCTACCTGGGCCACTCACCTCCAGGGTTCTCTTTCTGGACAACTGGAAAGCTCCTTCCACTTCCGGTTACCACCAGTCTCTGAGGGGTTTCTTTCATAGTAGAACTGACACAGACATGCCTGTAGCCATCTCTTGTACATGGTGTTTTTCTCGAAATGTTCAGGAAACAAGGTCAGGAGCCAGTCTGCTAGGTCAAGGGAATGGCTGGACACAGCTTTGATCTACACTTGCTGCTCAGCTCATCCCCGGACCTGATTCTTCTGAAGATCTCTCCCAGCAGCATCTTTGTTTTCCCTTCCAGGTAACTTTGGGTCTACTTTGACATTCAGTGAACCATAAGTACTGCTATTACCACTTCAAAAATGTTACCAAATAAACTTGAGGTTGGTCCTAATAGTAGCAAACACCCTTTATAACTGAGGAAACAGAGGCAAGTTGAGTAAGTTGCCCCAAGTGATAGTTATGAGGTGGTGGGACAAGGCTTCAAAGCAAGCATTTTGGCTCCAGAGCACAGATTCAGCCCCTACAGTATGTAGTCTCCATCCATTAGACGTATTTCTGCATCTCATATCTCAGCCTGTCTTTAGATTTATTTCACAGATGTTTTCACAAGATATCTGGGCTCCTATTACAAATCAAGGATATAACCGGAGTTCTATTTCAATGTCCAAAAATATTTAATCATGATTCAATTCCAGAAACTGGCCTCTCAGAGCAAACTGAACTTCATGCAGGTAGTTTCCACCCTAAAAATTAGTTTCCTGGGGCTGGCGCTGTGGTGCAGTGGGTTAATGACCTTGCTTGAAGCGCTGGCATCCCATATGGACACTGGTTCTAGTCCCAGCTGCTCCTCTTCCGATCCAGCTCTCTGCTATGGCCTGGGGAAGCATTAGAAGATGGCCCAAGTCCTTGGGCCCCTGCACCAGCGTGGGAGACCCAGAAGAAACTCCTGGCTCCTGGCTTTGGATCGGCACAGCTCCGGCCGTTGCGGCCATCTGGGGAGTGAACCATCAGATGGAAGACTTCTCTCTCTGCCTCTCCTCTCTCTGTGTAACTCTGACTTTCAAACAAATAGGTAAATCTTTAAAAAAATTAGTTTCCCAAAACACTAGTATAATATATCCTAATAAAGGCAAGCAGTAGCAGACATTAACAGGTTAAAAAAGAAACACATGGAAGCAAAATCTTTAGAAACTCAGTCCATTTAATTTTGCAGTGAATTTGGAGAAAAGTTTTTTTTTTTTTTTTTTTTTTTTTTTTTTTTTGACAGGCAGAGTGGACAGTGAGAGAGAGAGACAGAGAGAAAGGTCTTCCTTTTCCATTGGTTCACCCTCCAATGGCCGCTGCAGCCGGCGCACTGCGCTGATTCGAAGGCAGGAGCCAGGTGCTTCTCCTGGTCTCCCATGTGGGTGCAGGGCCCAAGCACTTGGGCCATCCTCCACTGCACTCCCTGGCCACAGCAGAGAGCTGGCCTGGAAGAGGGGCAACTGGGACAGAATCCGGCACCCAAACCGGGACTAGAACCCGGTGTGCAGCGCCACAGGCGGAGGATTAGCCTAGTGAGCCGCAGCGCTGGCCAGAAAAGGTGTTTTTTTTTTTTTTTTTTTTTTTTTAACTTACTTGAAAGGCAGAGTGACTGTGAGAAAGAGAGATGCAGAGAGGGAGATCTTCCATTAGCTGATCCACTCCTCAAATGTCCCCAACAGCAAAGTGGGCCAGGCCAAAGCCAGGACCTCCAGAACTCCATTGGTGTCTCCCATGTGGATGACAGGGTGCCAAGAACTCAAGCCATCATCTACTGTCTTCCAGAAGGAACATTAGCAGGATAGGAAGAGGGAGGACTCCACCCATGGCACTGTTAGAGGGTGCAGGCATTCTAAATGGTGGCTTAACCCACCTTATCACACTTGTCCCAGAGAAAAGTATTTATAATTTTTCTGTATCTTTCACCACCTGCACAGTTACTAGCCTGGTCCAATCAATCATTATTCTTTGCCTGACCTATTAGTAACTGGTATTCTTTCTTCCACTCTGACCCTCCACAGCTCATTAAGCAGATATAGGGACTCTATTCATGACCCTATTTTGTGTCTTTGCTCAAAACCTACTGTGGGCTTCCTATCTCACTTGGTGGTCTCAAAACCAGGGTATGAGTGCTTCTGGGGGAGTACTTATTTATGTTAAATATAAACCATTTATATATATAAAATTCATCATATATGTATAAATATGTAGCTTTTAATGTAGTACTGGAGTATATAAAAATGAAAAATGGAACTGATACAGGACCCTATTTCATCCTAGCAATTCATGGTTACCTAATTTTTTGGGGAAAAAAAAAGGACTCCCAGCTACGTTATTAAAAGACATTCTCAAGACTTTGTCATGTTTAATACTTAAAAAAACTTTTCCATTAGATTATCATTATTATTTTTTTGACAGGCAGAGTGGACAGTGAGAGAGACAGAGAGAAAGGTCTTCCTTTTGCCATTGGTTCACCCTCCAATGGCCGCCGCGGCCGGCGCACCGCGCTGATCGGAAAGCAGGAGCCAGGTGCTTCTCCTGGTCTCCCATGGGGTACAGGGCCCAAGCACTTGGGCCATCCTCCACTGCACTCCCGGGCCATAGGGCCATAGCAGAGAGCTGGCCTGGAAGCACCGGGACAGAATCCGGCGCCCCGACCGGAACTAGAACCTGGTGTGCCGGCACCGCTAGGTGGAGGATTAGCCTAGTGAGCCGCGGCGCCGGCCTTTCCATTAGATTATCATAAACTGAAATAATTAAAATATCAGAGATGACACTTTGCAACTATTTGAGAGGCAAGAGAGAGAGAGACAGCAGGCAAGGATGTGCAAGTTCCCACCTGAAGGTTCACTTCCCAAATGCCTGCAATATCCAGGACTGCACTGGGTCAAAGCCAAGCGCCAGGAACCCAATCACCTGAGCTATCTCCACTGCCTCCCAGCATCTGCAGTAGCAGAAAGCTGGAGTTAGGAGACTCAAATCCAGTTATCTGATACGAGGGCTTTGTGTATCTTAAACAGTATCTTCACCACCAGGCTACATGCCCATTCCTTTGCAATTATTTAAACTTCTTTTAAAATCAAATTACAATGCTTGATGGGAAATAGTTTTCCAAAATTCTTTTAGAGAACAAAAGCTAGCTCCTTTAATAATTTTCCTCATCTCTCACTACTCTCTGCTCAAGCCACTCCATCCAAGTTGATACGTTGCTGTTCTGATAAGCTAAGGATACGTTTGCCTCATGCCCTTTGCACTATTTGTTCCTCTACTTTGAACACTGTTCTGCAAGAGAGACTCCTTCATCTTATCAACAGGCCTCCCTCAATCTCTCTTTTGCTCCAGTTGCTTTTTCTTCCTGGCATTTACCTCGCATGTTATCAGGGTACTTAAAATTTAAGTTCATGGAAAATGAAACTGCGACAGTTTAGTGCAAAAAATTTCCAATCCACACATGGTTTTCTCATAATACACATTTCTCAAGAGCTTTCTGAAGTACCCTCGTTTATTCCAAACCTTGCACCATTAGCTCGTGAACTCTTTTAAAGGCAGGGAGAGCCTCTTTTGCTCTCTGCTGTAATCGCAGGGTATCTAAAACACTGACACCTAATAGAGGCGAGTCTTCTGGAGTGAGTAAATAAACACATGGTTTAGGGACTTAGACCAGCTCAAGAGATAAAGACCAAAGAAGTGCAAGCGTCTCACGCCCAAACAGCCACTGCTCTGCAGAAACACTTGTTTCCCAAATAAAAGGCCAACCCTTTCTGAAAGCTTCTACCTGGAGGGCATTTGTCACCGGGCTCACCCAGGACACTAAGTGGGACTCTCAGAGGCCACCACACTGGAGGTGAGATCTTGGCTCCGCAACCTGAGGCGCATCAGAATCAGCCCTCTGCCCCACTTCCGGACTCTGGGCTGAGGTGTGGCTTTTCAAAAAGCTCCTGAGGTGACCGGTTTTCGGCTACGTAGCAACGTCCCGGAATCACACTAAGTAGTGGAAATTAGCCGCACAGTGAGTCTCTTCCTCACCGGGTCTTTTCAGCCTATTTCTGGTAGACCTCCGGTTAAAAAAACCAAAGACTCGGCTTACTGCTCCCCTGAGCCACAAACAGCAGAAGGTGCCTCGCACAGCACCAAGAACCGCGAGGCCCTGGCGTCCGATCACGCTGCAGAAGCTTCGGAGGAGACGCTCGCTGGGGCAGCCACAGCCGCGGCCTCCGACCCGTCCAGCTTAGTCCGCCCCTCGTTCCGCACCACAGCTGAGGCCAAACTCAGCAGCACGATCCGCCAAAGGCCGACAGGTTGCCACGGCCTCTGGCTTTTAAAGGCTAGCGCCTGTTGCGCTAAAGGTCCGCGGCACTGACGCAACGCCCCAGCCCCAGACGTCTGGACGAGCGTCGCGGACGACTCCGCGCCCGCGCCCGCGCCCCGAGTTCCCGCCTCCCTCCAGAGGACGTCCGTGCGTACGTGCGCGCGCCGCGCCCGCCCTCTTCAGCCGCGCGACGCGAGGGCGGGGGCGCCGCGTGCGCGCGCGCTCTCGTTGGTTCGCTCGCCTGCTCGCTCTCGGCGGCCGTTCTCGCTGCGGCTGGGGCTGGGGGCGGCGGCGGCGGCGACGCGGGCGGCGGGCGGCGCGGGGCGGTCCGGCGGGTTCAAAGAGGAAAACATGGCGGAAAACAAAGGCGGCGGCGAGGCTGAGAGCGGCGGCGGGGGCAGCGGCAGCGCGCCGGTAACTGCCGGGGCCGCCGGGCCCGCGGCGCAGGAGGCGGAGCCGCCTCTCGCCGCGGTGCTGGTGGAGGAGGAGGAGGAGGAAGGCAGCAGGGCCGGCGCGGAGGGCGGCGCGGCCGGGCCCGACGACGGGGGGGTGGCCGCGGCCTCCTCGGGCTCGGCTCAGGCTGCCTCGGCTCCTGCAGCCTCAGTGGGCTCTGGAGCTCCCGGGGGGACCGTATCGACGCCGGCCCCAGCTCCAGCCTCAGCCCCTGCTCCGGGTCCCTCGGCGGGGCCGCCTCTTGGACCGCCAGCCTCGCTTCTGGACACCTGCGCCGTGTGTCAGCAGAGCCTGCAGAGCCGGCGTGAGGCGGAGCCCAAGCTGCTGCCCTGTCTTCACTCCTTCTGCCTGCGCTGCCTGCCGGAGCCGGAGCGCCAGCTCAGCGTGCCCATCCCGGGGGGCAGCAACGGCGACATCCAGCAAGGTGAGCCGGAGGCCCGGCCCGACGTCTGGGCCGCGGGGCATTTGCGGAGCCCAGGAGGATCTGGGGACCGAAGTGCTGGGGCTCGGGGCTGCCCGGACCTGCGCGATCCTGAGGGGTGGGCGAAGTGAAAGACACGGCCCCTGGGACAGTTTCCAGAGAAGCTGGACCGCGAGAGATAAGGAGGGGGATGAAGGGAGGGAGCCGGCTGTGAGACGGGGTTGGGGGGAGGGGACACAGCGAAGGAGGTTTGGGATGTGCAAGCTGGACCCGGACAGCAGAGCCAGCGTTCAGGGTGGACGGGCGCCCGGCCCGGGAGAGGTGGTGGTGGTGGTGGAGTAGGTAAAGAGAGGAGGGCTGTGAGGATGGATTGCACTGGAGGGAGGGGACGTGGCCCGTTGCCCGGTTTGGAGCAAAGAGGACTGCGGTTTAAATGCAAGCGGCTAAAAGACGTTGGGAAACTTGGAGCCAAGAGAAGGCTCTTGATGGAAAAGAATTTTAAGATGGCATTGGGAAGGAGCATCTCAGGAGATGAGAATAGCAGTGAGGGACCTGCATGGTTAGGGACAAGAGTAAGGTTTGGGGATGAGCAGAAATGAACTTGGACTGAGATTGAGGGTCAGATAGAGCTGGGCATGCATTTGTTTCAGTTCATTGTACATTAAGGAACCCCTAGCGTTCTGGGTGCTGCTGGGACTGGATGTGATGCTGGCTTAGGACCCCCTTCCCAGTCTTAACAGGGGAAACTGTAGCCTGCAGCAGTGGAGGTGGGCGCTCACTATCATGGCTGTGGCGAAATGGAGGGAAAGTCAGGGAAACTTCCCAGGAAAGGAAGGCCTGGAGCAGGTTTCCTGAAGGGTGATTGCCTGCCTCACTGGGTGGAGGGGATCGAGGGTACAAGGTGCGTCCACCTTGTGCAAGACCTCTGGTGGACAGTAGATTGCATTGATCAGCTGCGTGGATAAGGAGTTCCACATCCTTTTCCAGCAACTCTTGGGACAAGATGTGTTTTGGACTTCAGAATACAGTATTTGGGAATTTTTCTTGGTAAGGTCTTTTATGTACTATGTCTTTTATGTAGTACTCCAGCAGTGGTGGGATTCTGGAATAACAGTTCATTATTGAGCACTTGAAAGTTTCTTCATTGAATCACACGAATATCACAATAACGTGGTGGACTTTGTTGTAAACATGTGACAGAAGTGAAGTTTCTAAGCAGGTATGCAAATTTGGCACAGTACTGAGGGGTTGGGATGTGTCCTGTGCAGTGTCTCCTGTACAAGGCGTTCCCAAAGGACTTCTCTATCCAAAGGGTAAAGTCAGATTTGTGATCTACAAAGATCACCTGAAGTCGTTGAGAGATGAAAGAATGCAGGGAGGCCAGTTAGGGGAACCTTGGCAGCAACCTAGATTGGAAATTGTCATTTGGATTGGGTAGGAGAGGTCTGATGCCAGGCATTACAGAAGGAAGCATTTTGATGTCAGGGAGACATCAAAATGAGTTCAGGTGTCTTCTTCGCCACTTTCTACTTAGAACTTGGACAGATTAACTTTTCTTCACCTCAGTTTTCTCATTTGTGAACAGGGACAAAAAGTATATTGCTCATGGGATTATTGAGAAAATGAAGTGAAATAAGATATGTAAAGTGACTCATATACAGTAGTTACTAGTGAAATGGCTGCTAGTTTATTGTTAGTAATGGAGATGGAGGGGCTAACTGAGATTGGTGTTTAGACCGAGTTCTAGGTTTCTTGTTTGCTGACAGTGCTGTTAGTGCAAGCAAAGAATTCAGGCACAGAAGCAGGTGTCTGTAGTGGAGAGAGGATATAATACCTTCACTTCTGGGTTTGAGCTGTTATTGGGACATGCAGATAAGAATGTTAAGAAAAAAGATCTGTGTTTAATGGAGGAGACACTAAGTGGTAATAGGTGTAGAGAGGATAGCTGGTCGTGGTCCCATGAGCATAAGACGACACGTGGGATTCAGTGTCCTTGTGGGAACCTGGATTAGGTGAGCAATTTAGAGGGAACTCAAGATGCAAATTGTGTTGGTTGAGGAACTGAGGTTATGAAATTGGCTTTCTGAAATTTATGTATGAGAGAATATAGTCCCATACGTTCTCTTCATTTCTCCACCTTTGTTTTTGAGCTGGGAGAAGAAGTAAGTGGAAAGGACTAAATACTGTTGTTCTTAAGTGATGTTGATTTCTAGCCAGTATCTAAAACAATCTGGAAACTACCATGTTTTTAGGTAGGAAGTCTAGAAAATAATTTGTCAGTATGAACTCCTGTGTGTATCCTTTGCTTTGCTCTTGAAAAAAGGAGAGCAAGCTCTGTGGAAAGAACTCTGGGTTGGATGGAGTTAGTGGTCGTAGTTTTGCCACCTAATTGTTTAACAGAGGCTCATACTGTTTCCCTAACTTTGTCTCTCAGATGTAGCTAGTAGTTATTCACAATCACTTACTAAGTCAAATTAAAAATGAATGTGAAAATGCTTTGTTTGTAACTGTGAAATGCTTCAAAAATGCATTATTGAAGGTATTATTGAATAATAATCTGTGATCTGAAGAACCAAAGCTGGTGGATTAATTCACTATTTCTCTGGTGGCTCTGAATCAGTGATGAGTATGGTACTGTTTTTTCTACATGGTGTTTTTCTGTCTCTCCTAACACACTGTGGCTGACCCCTCTGGAGGTTCACACAAGGGCGTTCTTGGACCAGAAGCATCGGTATCATCTGTGACCTTGTTAGGAATGCAGATTCTCAGATCTTTGGACCAGTGATGGTTTCATAAGTCCTCCAGGTGATTCTGATGTCCACTTCAGTTGAACCACTGTTCCTTAGTGAAGGGCTCCTCATTTCAAACATTGTCTCAGAAAAGCTTTGTTTTTATTTTGTTTTTAAAGAGTTATTTATTTGTTTGAAAGGCAGAGCTACAGAGAGACAGAGGCAGAGAGAAAGGTTCAGAAAGAGATCTTCCATCCTCTGGTTCACTCCCCAAATGGCCTCTAGGCCAATCAGAAGCCAGGAGCCCGGAGCTTCTTCTTGGTCTCCCATGTGAGTGCAGGGGCTCAAGAATTTAGGCCATCTTCCAATGCTTTCCTAAGCTGTAGCAGAGAGCTGGATAGGAAGAGGAGCAGCTGGGACTCGAATCGGGAATCGGTACCCATATGGGATACCCGCTACACCACAGCACCGGCCCCAGAAAAGCTTTATTTTGACTGCTTTTTTTTTTTTTTTTTTTTTTTTTTGGACAGGCAGAGTGGACAGTGAGAGAGAGACAGAGAAAGGTCTTCCTTTGCCGTTGGTTCACCCCGCAATGGCCGCTGCGGCTGGCGCACTGCGCTGATCTGAAGCCAGGAGCTGGGTGCTTCTCGTGGTCTCCCATGTGGGTGCAGGGCCCAAGGACTTGGGCCATCCTCCACTGCACTCCCAGGCCACAGCAGAGAGCTGGTCTGGAAGAGGAGCATCCGGGATAGAATCTGGGGCCTTGACCGGGACTAGAACCCGGGGTGCCGGTGCCGTAGGCGGAGGATTAGCCTATTGAGCCACGGTGCCGGCCTTGACTGCTTATTTTAAAGTAGTCCTCCAGGTCACTCTGTGATAACTTTTTTTATTTTAAAGCTCAACTAAAATCAAAATGTCTATTTTTGTTTACTTGCTCATCTCACATTTCCCACTAGAATGTGGAATGATTGTTCAATAAATAGCTTTTGAATGAGTAAGAATCACCTAGAGAACTGATTAACATGCTAATTTGGAAGTTTCTTCAGAGACTGATTCAGTAGATTTGGGGATGACTGCATGTGTCTGCAATTTTAACAAGTTTCCCATGTGGTTCTGATGGAGGTGGCACCCACCACACTTTGAGAAACGTAAATTTAAATATTTTGAAGAGACAGTGTGATCTGTATTCTATTGGAGCAGTGGGAAAATCAAAATATACTAATTAATATTTGTTATATCTCAATAGTGAATTTTTTTAAAAAAAGATTTGTTTATTGGAAAGAATTAGAGGGAGAGGCAGAGATCTGTGATCTGTTGGTTCACTCCCCACATGGCTGCAACGGCCAGGGCAGGGCCAGGCCAGAGCCAGTCTCCCAGGTGGGTGCAGAGGCCCCAGGACTTGGGCCATCTTGTGCTGCTTTCCCAGGTGCATTAATTAGCAGGGAGCTAGATCTGAAGTAGAGCAGAAGGGACTTGAACTGGCACCCATAAGTGATGCTGGTGTTGTAGGCAATGGCATAACCTGGTATGCCACAAGGACAGATCCAGTAGTGAGCTTTTAAAAGTGCTTTTGTGATTAACAAAACAAAACGAAAATTGGCAGCTGACATTATGGTGCAGTGGGTTAAACTGCTGCTTGTGATGCTGGGATTCTGTTTTCAAATCTTGGCTTCTTTGCATCCAGTCCAGTTTTTCCTGCTAATGTTTCTGGGGAAACAGCAGAAGGTGGGCCAAGTACTTGGACTTCTGTTGCCCACATGGAGACCTGGATGGAGTTCTTGGCCTCTGACTTCAATCTGGTCCAGCCCCAGCCATTGCAGGCATTTGTAGAGTGAACCAGTGGATGGGGATGGCATTGTCTTTCTCTCTTTCTGCATTTCAGATTGTTAAAAGTAAAAAAAAAATAAAAATAAAATAAATAAATAAATAAAGATTATTTATTTGAGAGGCAGAGTTAGAGAGAGAGGGAAAGACAGATTAATCTTCTGTCTGCTGGTTCACTCCGCAAATGGCTGCAACAACCAGGGCTGGCTGTGTCGACTGAAGCCAGGACTTCTTCCGGGTCTCCCACATGGGTGTAGGGGCTTAAGTACTTGGACCATGTTCCACTGCTTTCCCAGGCCATTAGCAGGGATCTGGATTGGAAGTGGGACAGCTGGGACTTGAATTGGCACCCATATGGAATGGTGGCACTGCAGGTGCAAGGTTTACCTATTGCACCACAGTGCCAGCCCCAAAATAAAAATTTGATGTCTTTTCAGGTTAAGCCATGAT